GCTGAAAAGAAAACTAGAGATTAACATTCTGTGGGCAGGCCTACACTTTTTACAAGATTTTTACTTAGGTTTAAAGTCTATCTTGCACCCATTGAAGATAGCTAATGGTACAGGATTGGGACTGTCCTGAACGAGAACTGTTTCCTTCAACAAAAGTGAAGCTAAAATTGGGAGTGACGGAGCATGGGAGGAAAATTAAATTTCCTAGGTGTCACATTAGCAGTTAGTAAATATATCAAGTCAAAACCAAGTCTGCTCTGTCTACTTTTTAGTTACTGTTTCAATAGCATTTTAAGAATTTCCATTAACTTACAATGAAAACTACGGTATGGCCTTTTTATATGAAATCTCACGATCAGCGCAATTAGCTATCAAAAAGACATGCAGATGCTGAATTTAGTGTTCAACACCGTATTTGAGTTTTACAATAAAATTTGAGTTGTACCATCTAATGAGATAATAGGTGACTTTCCCAGGATTTCCAGCAGAGAATGTTTCCACTTCGTTAGCACAATATAATAACAGAGCACCTGTTCGATACTGGAAAGTTTCTTTCAGGAGGCAGTATCAGTCGCTGGCATTGTTTAAACTCTCCTAAACATTCTTATTTAAATGGTGGGATTATACTGAAGCATCAGGTATAGCCAAGCTACATTCATCTTAAAAAAGGATCAAAACTCACAACAATGAATTCCAGGCTGGGGTTAAGTTCTCGTTACTTGCTGAAGAGGGAGGGTTAACACATAAGATGTACAATTCACAGTAAATTTACAGCAGCCGCCCACCCTCTATATCCCAGATGGCTGACCCAGCCTAGCAAAGTTGTTGTTTAACCAGTAGAGGAGTTTGGAAGTTTTCCAACTGAACAGAGTTTTGTCAGGAAAACTCCCCAATTCATCAAACTGTTAATGTTTTGCAAAAACACCTCAAGTTCAACAAACTTTTTTTAAAAAAAAAAAAAAAATCACAAGAAAGATGTCAAAGAAATGCCGATTTCAGTCACCAAATGCCTGGGGATAGCATGCCCCATTGAAAATACCCTGCACCAGGGTTTCAAAACAACTTCTTTGACCCAGGTTTTCACTTCAAAATAGAACTTCTTGGGAACTGGAAATCCTGGGTTCCAGAGAAAATTAGGGCAGAAACAAAAGTATTCTAATAAAATAACCCATCTCTGCATGTTAGCAAACAGTGAAGACATTTTCATAAAGATGGTCCCTCTGTCGGCTTTTACAGGAACACAGCCATGGTTGGAAATGCTACGCACGAGGCAACTGCTTGCCTTGCAGCAGGGAAACCAAGGGAGGAATGAGATCTGGTCTCTTCAGTCTGTAGCATTACAAACTGAATCACGGACCCACTCCGACTTGCTGCGGTATAGAGTTCTGACTCATCTAACAGGCAAGCAGGGGAAATCCATGGATTTAGGAACAATCTGAAGCTGAGACATTTTAGGGGAGTGCAAGTTCCTTCATACAATTGCCAAAGCTTTTTTTTTTTCCACTCTCTCAGCTTCCCTCTAGACACTGCCCCATATAGTATCAGCCTCTTTCCTCACATCTGCACTAGAGGCAAAAGCTCCATTTACAGAATTGCCATAAGGAGAAAACTTTTTAGGGGAACATTCTCTCCACAGTTTGTTGATTATCCTACAGCAGGGAGTAGTCACCGATGTGGGTAAACAATATCTTGCTCCTTTAAGAAGTCCATTAAGTGAATTCATCTATTATTAGAAATCTGTTTAGCAGAAGGGAATGATCAGTCTGCCACAGAACATGAGACAATTCATTTATTCTTTTATGCACTTAAAATGGCTTACAGCAATGGCTTGAATCGTGGCCAAGTAGATAAGGGCAAGTTCATCCAGACCCCGGGACAACGTTAGTCCAACAACCTGTGCAAAGATCAAAAAGAAAACGTACAAATCCAGCTAAAGTAAAACTCTATTATTTTCTACGGTTTCTTGTTGTAACAAGTTTTAAGTGCTAATTCTAAGCCCTACTTTTGTGAGCTGTACACATAATGTTATGTTAAACATGTTATTCCTGATCTGGGGAAGAACCACATAAATTGTGCAAAGAAATAAAGAACAAACAGCATATTGTATGGGATTAGAGACAGATTAACTGTGACAGTTTTATGTTATGACTCAGATATTGCTCGTGAATGTATTTAATGTAATAATATGAAAACGCTATTACATAAAAATAACCTTTTAAAAGCATTTCTCCCCCTCCCTTCCAAGCACCCTAACACTGAAACACAATTAATAATTAAAGACTATATCTTAACCTCCTTTACTCTGACATAAATCAATACTGCACTGTAGTTACTCTGGATTAATATCAGCATAGGCAAGACCTGAACGCAGCCATAATTGTGGCAGAAAAATGTGTTGCTATTACCACTATTTGCATACAGCCATCACACCAAGGAAATTCTGATTCTGCTGCAGCATATAATTATTTCATAAAATAATACAGGTATTATAGGGTCCAAAAATATATAAGCCATCTATTTTTTTTTTATGTTTCCCTCGTTTGTGGTTTAAAACGTGTTGCAGTGCTTACGCCTACCCTTTCCAATCTCAACCTCAAATACAGCAGATTTTGGTGTTGGTGAGTAGCTTGAGATGCTCACTTCAAGGACAATATGCCATTTCAAAGTACATTTTTGCATTAATCACCAGGTATTTTGATATCGAATTATACCCTTATGATATTCTTCTGTTACAGTTCTGCACAGTAACATCCTGGCTTGTGACCTAGCTGATCTACCACCATGAAGTTCAGTGAAGAGAAACATCCAAACATTTAAAGATGGGCTGAAAAATCTCCCCAGCAGAGATTCTCTGGTGAGCTTCCAAACGCTGCTCTTTCTGGTCCCAGATTGCAATGCTCTGAAAATTTCTTTGTATAGAACACAATGTTTCAATCCCTTTAAGTTCCAAAAGTAGCCATTTTAAAACCACAAGCCAGAATCAGATCAGGTTTACCTTTGAACAAAGATGTATGAAGCACCACGGTTGTGTATTTTCAATCATGAGAGCATCTATGCCCATTTTTAACAATAAGCAGAGGAGCTTTTCAGTTTCTGTTGAAATTTACTACCCAACAACTCTAATATAGCATATTTACTGAACATTTATCTGTTTAAATCAAGCAATTTCTCCTCAGAATACTTCATTCCTTTCCCAGATAGGCATATCCAAATTTGTGTTGAAATTCATTGCAACAGATATGCAAAATTCATTAGACAGGTGAGTTAACAACAGCAAGCGCTGCTGGTCAGTGCTGTGAAACGTGATTCCTGGTAAAGATACTGGGACACACACAACACTCCTCATATTTTTAGAAAATAAATGTAGTGATACCCCAACTACAACAATCTCTAGTTTTCTACTGAAACATTAGCACACTTCGAAATGCAGCAAGAAACCCAAATCCTATGGGATAGTTTAAATAGCTAAGGAGGAGTACACTCAAAATTGAAAAAAATGCTCCTTCCAAGATTTTTTTTTTTTTTTTTTTTTTTTTTTACCCTGTATTGACCTTTTTGCAAAGACAGGCTGTTTCTTACCATGCCCTTTAGTGTCAGATCTGTTAAGGGAGATCTGTTACCATGGAAATCTGGCCAAACATGTAAATCAACAGTGAGGAAACCCACAGGCAAAGATTTCTTAATCAAATCCAGGTGACTGTTCAAGTATGTATATATACTGTGAGCACTAGAAGAAAAACAAGTTGGAAAAAGAGTGGGGGAGGTTATTCATCAAACATAAATCATTTGTACCACCATCAAATGCAGAAAACCCACCAAAGAATGCCAAATCCCAAATTTAAAACAAAGGGGGAGAAAGGCAAAAACGCCTGCTTGCGGAGCCCATGGCATTGCAGGGTGCGGGCAGTGGGGACATCCATTCAACAGGCCATCTGAATTCCTCAACCCCACAGGACGAGGGGAGATAATGGCAGTTTGTGATCTTGAGTTTGTACATTGACTCCTAGAGGTCCCAGATGAGCCAGAGTTGTCTGATATTTTGGGAGCTGATGATGCTTGTCTCTAAGAGAAAGGTGCTGACATTGTGAAAGAGAAAGCTAGAGAAGAGAAAGCTGAGAGAGAGGAATAAAGAGGATTCCAGACAGAAATGAAAATCAAATTCCTTTACAAATATTTAAAAATTTCTCTGATTAATCAATAGCACTGGACTTACAGCTTTCCTTTTTTAAGCCATAATTATTTCAATGTGTGCTATGATTAAAATGCAGCACTGAGGGTGGAGGAGAGAAAGCAAGTGGCTGCTATTTTAGGGAGGAGCCGAACATGGGCCTAAATATGATTGTATCTAAGTTCAGATACTACACCCAACTCCACAATATCCAACAGACTTTTTCCTGGACCAAGAGTAATCTTAGGACTAATGGTGAATTCTTCAGTGCTTTGGCTTGCAATGACTCTAGTGACATTCCATTTAAAAAATGTTGCAATTATTTTTTCAAATGCTCATACTACCATAAACAGATTCATATATATTTTTCAACTCCTTGGAAATCTCCAAGTGGGGCATTTAATTCTAGACATGTGGGTCAATAATAGCATCTAACCCTAATTACAATTGATTAGTCATTGTCTCATCCACTGTAGACCCAAACAGTGATATTCATTTAGCCTCTACATGTATATTCAATCATGCACTAATGAGATCCCTAAGGGAATTTGGCATATGCTTTACTAGTTTGACTTCTGACCTGCTAGCAGCTGTATATTTATACTTTGCATTCAACCATTCAGCTGCATGTTTTTTCAATTATACCTTACCATGTGTATGCTATCAGAGGATATCATTCAAAATGAAGTACACTTGGAAGACATTAAAATAACTAATTCACATCATTATTCACGTACTTTAAAATGTACTTTATGTGTCTTCCTGGACCTGAATTATGATAATTTTGAGGTCACAATCATTTTTCCCCCCTTGTTGTAAAAGTGGCCCTATTTTCTACATCCCTAAAGACTGCACTATAAGCAGTACATGCTAAGGACAAAGTCATTTTATTTCCAGTCTAAATCATGGCTTGACTGTTGGGAAGGAAAAGAAAGGAAAGCTTCATTCAACCACAGACCTACCAGACATCTCAGCTTCTATCTGTTCTCCGTGTTGCTTGATTACTCTCTCAAGGATTAGCCATTCGTGCAACTCTGACAGAACACAAGGACTGTACAAAAGAGGCTGAAGTTCAGCCAAATATGCTTAAGACCCACATAACCTTGGAATTACACTTTTTTCCCCACACCTTTTACTTTTTTTTCCCCTACATATAGATATGGGTTCAAGGCTCTACATTTGGACTGAGTGACTGGCAAAATCCTTCAAACACTTGGCAGTTCCAGTTTCTACCAAGTTTGTGTTATAGGTACTATTACACCATCAGCTCTCTGGAGTGTTTTCTATTCAATTCTATGAGAAGGTATCAGTAGCAGCTGGATCTGACCTGCAGAGTTGAGCACAAGCTATTGCTGTTACAAAGGAACTATGTTGAAAGTGGAGAATAAGAAATCAATGCAAGTTTGCCGAGGGTTATGTTCATATTAGGGACATAACTTCAGAAAGCAACAAGAGGTTGGTATTTAATCTGTTCAGGAATCCTGGAAGATGCCAGCAGGTATATTTCAGGAAAAAATCTAAAAATTTTAGATTTCTAAATCTAAAAAAAAGGGCTTTAAAACATCTAGAGGTACATGAACTGCCAAATATGATTACTATGTTCTGCTTGAAAGATCCCAGAACTGCTGATAGATAATGTGTGTGTCACTTCACCACTTTTTTTCCAGGAGCTACCTTTTTAGATGGGGAAATGGCATTGAGAAGTGAAGGAAAGGAAATTCTGTCCTACAACATAGCGCTTCACAAAGCGCCAAAGGGCATATAATCTTTGCTGTCAAACAGTTAGAAACTGTGATTCTAGGAAACAGAAGTATTTAAACATTAAAGCATAAATGACCTTTTTTTTTTTTTTTTTTTTTATTTCCTACTATAGCCTACTTATACTGGATTTTACCGTATCAGTAATGGCTAGGTTATTACTAATTGGGTTAGTAATACCTACACAATATATAGATCGAAGACCAAATGTTCTATCTACAAAGCAATTTCTGCATGAAAGAAACCAAGTTTTGTTGTTGCTCACAGAGTATGCCAATTAGTTAGACCAAATGCTAAATTTACAGCTGTCCAGACAATCCTCATGTAATTCAACCCTCTCCACTTCCAGTAAAAGAAGGGAAAAGAGAACATGGGAATAGTACTGGGAGGGTTGCACAAGACTGGTCTTCAGCACAAGTGGTCAGTAGGAGCTGGTTTCTGGCAAGTCTGTCTAAGCCGCTTGCGCCCTAACAAATCACCACAAATGACTGAAACAAGTGATAAATGCAGCTTGCAAACTCTTGCTCCTGGTATAGGCAAAGGAACAGAAGTCTGCACAGTGAAGCTTCTGAGATCAGCTGCTCAGCAGACAGTTTGCCATTGCTGAACCTACTTATTAGCAGTGTTGGGAGCCTGGGAGAAAAGACAGACAGGCTTGGGAAGGCAGAAGTAGGTGATAGGCAGCAGCAAGTAAGAGGTACAGATTTGTGACCTCAGATGTTGTTTTTTAATGATCCAGACATGCATGTGCTTTTTGTCACTACAAAACCAGCCTAATTCTCCAGTGTTGCACATAGCATGGGAAGTAAAGGTAATATGCAATTGCACACCTACGTGTGGAATTCTTATTTTGTTTTCTTCCAATGACCATTTGCAATGGCTGAACAGATATAAATTCCTACACTCACTCAGAGAATATACTAAACACAATAAAGCAGATTCTCTGAAATACTCTGATGAGATTTCCAGGCAAATAATTTACCATCATCACCAACAATCCCCCAAAACAAGACACTATGCCCATATTAAGTACATGACTTAATGTAAGTAAACACATAATCCAAAGTTTGGGCCAACACTGTTCACTAAAAAAATGCCTTGCACTTGTATAGCTACTGCTACTAGTCCTTATGATAAGGCTGAAACTTGTGTTCCATGTATAGAAAGAAATGAAGAAAAAAGGAGAAAAATTTAGTTCAAATTGCGAAGTTCCTGATTTTTGTTTGTTCAAATTAAATTCTTTATATTTAATGAATATTTGAGAAGGACAGGGAGAAAGGGGATAGGGGGAATTAGTAAGAGACTTGTTTACTAAATTTATAGCTATCCAAACATTTCATTAGGAGACTAATATTTGGAAAGCATTATAAAAATACCATTGAGCGAATTAACTTCATAAAATATTACAATCCTGTTTATAAAATATTATAACCCTTTTTATCAATGCTATCCTCCACACTTCTGCTAACTGCAGGGGACTCAAATCCAAAGTTATGACACCATACACTCAGATAACATGGAATTCTATTCCTGATATTCTGTATTTGGTGTCCTATTCACATCACAGCCCAAGCTTTTTGCACTATGAAATTAGTTGTGGTCAGTCAGTTCAGTATCAGACCTAGTATAGACAAGCAGGCTACTCATTTTTCCAACACAAAAAAAAAGGTTTATCCTGGCATTATAGACTAAACTAATTGTCTTACGCTTGTGCCTCATATGGGGGCATCGGAAAAATGGCCTGGAAGCCAAAATTTTGGAAAAAAAAACCCAGATCAGTCCTTACTCCAAACATACACAGATGCATTTATTTCCTGATTTCCCTTTTTAAAGAACAACAAAGAGAATTCTAGGAAGCATGAATCTATTTCATACTGAATAAAGTCCAAGACATTTCTGGGAATCCTGGTCAAGTTCTTAACAAACAAGTAAGGCACTGGACACTACAAAGCATGAATGGTTCATCTAGAGAAACCAGGTAGCTTTATCCGCCAGGGAGGACTGAAAATAGCTGTATAACTACATGCGCTTAACACATCTATCAGGACTGACTCTTGCCTTTTAGACAAGTGATAAACTGAAGATAAAATGCCAAGTTTGCTGTTCTTTTCTTTAATCCAAGGAGGACAAAGAAATTAAAAGAGAATCAAATTTTCATCCAATGTGCCTAACTGTTCAGCTAAGATCTCTCTGGGAGTGATGTGAACCATCTTAAAAGGAATCCAAATGAAAATAGCTTGAGAAAGTCCAGATCTGACAGAAGTGTCTGGACTGTCTTCATTCACTTCTAAAGCAGACCAAACTAAAATTCCACATCGCACACAGCCTCCTGCTCAGGGAATCCTGGAGTTACCTCCAATTCACTCCTACGTCTTAAGTTTTGTCTGAAAACTCATCCTGGGTTTCTCTGTTGTATTTCTGCTGCCATGCAGGAGTTTTTCATACAGTGGCTATACCTTCCTTTAGATGACTGTTCCAAAAATATTGAATAATACATTCCTAATTAAGCTATATCTCATCCTTGGAGCTTCATAGTGTCACCTACAAATTAAGACACATCATTAGCCCAAGGCATAAAGATCTGCTGAACAGGGCTGATGCTATGGTATCGAGAAATACCCTGTGCTGGATATAAAAGAAGTTGAAAAGCAGAAAATTAATGTCACCACTTAGATACGCCGAAGGCATGTGAGGGGAGTTTAAAGCTTTCATCTTTGAGCAATCACCTGGCCAGCCTTTGTAAATACTTCCAACCCACTATCAGACTGTTAATTCCCCTGTTTCAGAATAAGGATACAGCAGTGCAGAGTATCATCAATTTGTAAGGCAGGTATGTGATAAAGGAATAAGAACAGTGACCTGGCTGCAGCTTTTGACTGTAATTCTGGGAAGGCGACATGACCTCGGACCACATGATCTATCTGAAAAAGAGGAAAGCAACATTTTTGGGATGATTACATCTTAAAAATTCGGTCCCGGAAAAGGGTAATGCAGTGTCATAACTCTAAAAAGACAAGAGAGCTTCTAAATTACTCATGAGGTGTTAAGTCCTAGTCCTAGTAAAACCAATGGCAAAACTCCCACTGACATTACTGGATTCAGGATTTGGCTTAAAAACAGCAAGAAAAAACAACCAACGCTGCACCAAAAATAGGCAAAATGCTAAGCACGCAGCTCCTCAGTCAGAAGAGCAAGCTGAAAGGATGACTTTTTCCCTGTCCAACACTACCTGAGAGCATATCCTCTAGTCTCTCTCATTCTACTGCATGCATACCCTCATTGGAATTCTATCAGAAGCATCTTCTTGGCCCAAATTCCTACATCTTTCTATATCCACTGTTATAATAAAACTCAAGGTGTGTTGTCATCCTGATAGATGCTCCATATGTTCATTGCAGGAAACAAAATATATACCCTGACAAGCAATTATTGCTATAAAAAAAGATCAATATAAGCTCTGTCTTATACTGAATTTATAAATCAGCTTGTCCTTTCACTCTAGAGTGGCTACCATTATTCACAAAACAAAGTATCAGGTAGAATAACATGGGCTTTTAAATCAATAATTCAGCAGGTTTTGTGGCCTCTTGATAATATCCCATCAGAGGTGACAGTAAAAGCTAAGGAAGCAAAACTAGAGCTACTCAAGAGCACTGAGCGTATTTGGCAATACCTATTGGCAACAAAACACATTAGGTATTTAATTTTTAACAGTATGAGTCTAGTCCTTAACCAGTGTAGGAAAACATACAATGAAGCGTACCCATCTGAACATAGCAATAAAAATAATGCATGCCTGTTTTTTCTGAGATTTGCATCAAAGACAAAACTCAAACATGTGCACGCATTAGAAACAAAACTCAGGCCTGAATTTTGCAATCTTGCATAATCTCTTTAGAACACAGAAGCAGCTCATAAATTCAGAATTAAATCTATAAATAAATATCACATCTACATGTGTGATATGAAAGTACTTCACAAAAAAAAGTTACTGAAGTTATGAATTTAGATATTTAAATGTCCTTAATTCAAGACATGGCCACATGAGGGTTGCATCTAGAAACCCTTTTCTGCTATTCTTTATTTTACAGTTTGTAATGATGTCATGCCATCCTTTGTCTCTGTTGTGCAGTATCTTCCTTCCTATCAATTTTGAAAATCCAGTGCAAAAGCTCATCTAATAGACAAACAAGCTTTTTCAAAACAAGCTGAGTTCTTAATTCTTCATTTGGACTCTATCTGAACCAATTTTCAAAATCCAACAGACTTTTTCGCAGCTGTATCAATAAAAAATTAATTAAGAGATTTTTAAAGGGAAGTGTATCAGTTTTACTTTTAAGAAGTTCAACAGGCTGTTCAAATTTCATGAGAAGAATTCACCTTTGGGCATAGATCGAGCAATGAAAAGAATCCCAAAACATGTCCATTTTTTTGTTTTCAGACAGCTTGAAGTATGAGAAAGCAGGGTCTTAAAAAGACTACAGCTTTAAAATTACAAAGATAATGAATGCAACCTATCCTCCACACTAGTGTGTACATACACTGTTTCCTCCTATGGCTCCCTTTGTGTTTTCAGTACACACAACCTCAAGAAAAACACGAGATACTCTAAGAAAGTTTTAGTAAGATAGCTTCCCTAATATACCTAACAGTATTTACAGCTGAGTTTTGCTACAGGTCCTAACAAGACCACACATTTTTTCCAGCAATTTCTCTAATGACTCAGGAACATCTTGCTCTCTGGTATTAGAATGGAAAGGATTTTTAAAATAATCTTTCTGAAATGCGCTAACAACTGTCATGGTACGTTTTAAGTTGAGCCAGCCAACAGAAAACACTGACTTGCTGTATCCTCTCTAGAGCTTAGTTAAGTGTCTTGACCCGCTTTGGATTAAGCACATAGAGACTTCTCCTCTCAAAAGCGTTCTTACAAAGAAATGCAGAAGAGTTGCCATTTTCCGTTTAAAGTGGTGGTGTTACGAGCAGTAATTTAATTTTACTTCTGCTAGTAGCAGTGACCTATAAAATGGGACACTTTGGTCCTAGTCCCAGCTTGACCTGAAAAATTTGAAGCACACACATCCCACCTGCTGCAAGGGCAGTTTAGCCACGAGGCTAAGGATGGGTTGGAGATGGGATGGGAAGCAGAGGCTGCAGGAGAGGAAGAGGAATGACTTTTCCACTGAAGCTGTGACACTGTTCAGAGAGGAATGTCAGATTCACGTGGCCAAAGAGAGAGCACAGGAGGGAACACCAATTCATAGCTCAGCGCTTAGGGTGTGTCTGGGCTTCCTGATGCAGGATTATTTCTGTTTCTTGTTCGGTGACTGTTTCATATGGAATGCATAAATGCAGCGATGCCCCAATCTGCTACTTCCTGGACATGTACTCCGATCACTAGGCTTTTAAAAAGGTGGGTGGTGCTAGGTCTGAGTAAGACAGCAATTACACCTGCAATTTGTGAAAGGCCAAACCCACCTGTATGTTTGCCGAGCTTACAGAGGATACCCACAGGACTGGGCCCCCCTCCTGTAGTTTCTCAAGAGTTTCTTGGCACCTCACCCCTAAGGGCAGTCAGTATTTCTACCGACTGAGCAGGGAGACACACAGTGAACTTCAGAAGCTTCCAAGGTTAAGCAGCCACTGAGGTCTTGCTGACACGTTTGGACTCAAACAGCTGAAGTCTGCCTAAATACTGTTTTATACATTTAGCCTTTCTTTAAATATGACCTCAGTGTTTTAGTTCTGAATGCCACCCTGTAAGTAAGAAAACTCATTTTTAGAGGATCCAGTCTGGTTTTAATTTGTAATAACCTAATATAGTCAGACTCTTTGCACTCAAGGAAAGAATTGAGGTGACAATGTATGCCGTATCTATCTAAACAGGATAACATGTTAACATATTATTATTCTGTCCATACAATACATCTTTCATTTATGCCTATCAATGAGCACAATTGTTCTGTATAACACAGTATGTATAATTTTCTTTATCTCAAAGTCTATCTCAGCCTCCTGCTAAAGTAAAGAATGAATGCCTATTTGCCTGTAAAATAATAACAATAATCATCACTGTCATCACAAAAGGAAGACAGGCCCTTAGTACTCTGCCCCATATATAATCCCCTATCAGTATGCAAATGAACAGTTTGTAAGACACACAACAATCAACTACTTATTTATTGCTTTGAGCAGCATGGTATCTCCTATGATCTTACGGAGATGTTTCAGGCAGAGCTCTGGCTGAATTGACAGTGAAACTATCCTGAATGACAGCAGTTATAGCAGACCTCCCATCTTGGAGTCCAGGACTCCAAACACTTACCAGTTTTCCTGTAGCACTTTGACCTCCTTCATTCAACCACAATCCAGGTACCATTGCAGAGAAATAAGGTCCCCAAACACCAGGCACAAAAATGGGTCTTTCACTGACCTGGAAAAGCAGGAGAAAGCTCTGGTGAATCAAACTACCTGCCAAAGTAGGTAATTCACAACTAATGTCTGGCAGCTATCAGAGTCCAATACTGAAATGATTCCTGCTCCTCCACTGGAGTTACCAGCGTGAGTGGAGATGTACAGGTAGAGATTTCCTCTAAGGAGAATGTAGAGAAATATGTCCCCCATTTGCATAATTTTTAGATGAGATGACACAGCTGCAGCTACTGATTGCACAACCGCCCCCACTGACTCCCATTTACAGAACAGCTGGGTCTGGCCATGCAGAAAGTAAGAAATTTCAAGAACAGGAGCTGTGTTTTACAGGGAGAGAGAAACTGCCCTGTTTCTCCAGAAAAACACCTTACTTAGAATGAACAGTTGGATACAACGCTCTGCTTGACTGTCATCAGAAAATACAGCCAATGTAATTGGCAACCGGTGTTTACAGAGCACTCCTCCTGTATGTCTTCAGAATTAAGAATTGAGGGGTAATCCTGCTGACAGAGGACAGCAAGGTCCCCTGTGATCTGCCATCGGCTCCCGAGGCTTGCAGTGGAACCCCAAGCGCCAGTGCTCTCTCAGCGCTGTCAGAAGAGTTAGATGCCTTGGGTAGAAGCTGCAAACCTGGGCTTGAGTTAGCCAACGGGAAACTTTTGTCTGGGTAAACATAGATCCTGCCCCTTACTTAGGCTTAGCTTTACGCAAACCACTCCTTCCTTCACACCTGTAAACCCGTTCAACAAGGCAGATATCTAAGCACTACCATCCAAAAACTGAAGAGGACTGTAGCCTACCGCTTGCATACAAATACAATACCCGCATATACAGTGATAGCCTGCTCCTGTGCAATATTTTAGCGGTTAGACCACTCAGGATGTGGGAGACACTGGTTCACTTCCTTTCTCTGCTTCAGAAGATGCAAATTGCCAGTTTTTAAGGGTGTAGGGCATTTTCCTTCCTCTTATAAAGCTGTTCCACTTTCAATAGACTAGATAGACTTTCTAGACTTCTAGACAGGTTATCCCCTCCCCTGGCAGGCTACTTGTCTTCTCTTTGAAGCATGATTCGTGTTTTCTCTTCCAGGACCAACAGAGGTATATACATTCAAGGTATAGGCAGCCATGATTTCACTGGGAAAAGAGGATGGCAGTGCAGTCCTAGGCTGCCACAGGATGCATGAATGCACATCCCACTAGTCCATGTTACTGGGAAGGCTAAATCTGCAACTGCTGTTCTGTAGGTGGGAAGTGCTCCAAGAGGAGGAAACATGAGAATTCCCTAACAAAGTAAGTCTGTATGTTTGCAATGCTGGAACAGCAAAAAAGAAAGATCATGGGACAATGTTTTTTTGTATTTAGACCTTGCTCTTCATTATAAAAATTCTAGACCCATTAAAGCATGCTTGAAGTTTGCTATTGATTTCAGTAAGGCCCGGACTTCACATCAATATAGTTTGGAGGAGGAGGAACTAAAAATTCAGGCCTGTTCCTGTTAAACTTGATGCACATTCTCCCTATATTTAAAGATGGCAAACTTTAAAGACAGTTTTTGCTAGCAACTAGGGAATATGCTCCAAGATGCAGTTTACTGGCATTTGTGCATCACACATGTTTAGTAAATACACCAGCAGGGAGGTTGCTGCACAAACAATAGTCTGTTCAAGCCATAAACTTACATTACAGCTGATTCTTGTCATGATTCTTAAGCAGGAAAACAAAACAACAAAAACTGGTTTCTTAAAATACGTCACTACAGTGTCAAGCAATCCTGATTTCTCTTAGGTACGCATCTAACAAATACGAGAATCTTGCTCAGTTCTCCGCCCTCAGCCCTAATGCGCTAACTTACTTTCCCTAAAGATGAATGCGTGCACATGTGTCTGCGTGTCTGCGTAAGATTTTGGCTGGCTAAACCCATTAAAGAGCAAGAATAGCTGCACTGAATTTAAAAAGGCATTTATGACTCCAAGTGGACGAAGCTACGTCAAAAACATTGCAAAGACATTTGGTTTTGTTTTGTTTTCTCTTAAAACTACAAATTAATACAGCTTTGAGTTTTCAACACCTCTATGGGGCAAGCCTTCTTTTACAATTTCAATAACAAAATGAAGGGCAACAGAAAGCAAATCCTAAAATAACCTGATTTTTAGACCAATTCCACATCACTGATCTTACTGAGAACACAGCATAAGGCCAAAATTCCCAGTTAGTATCTGCTCCGAACTAGTGATGGAAGCATGCCGAGAACCCAAGCGTCCCGTCTCATTCCCGTCCTATAGCTGTGGACACAAGGTGTGTGTCTACAGGTGGGAAGGAACATTTAGGGCAGAAGGGGCCTGGGTTTTTGAAGTCTCCCCTCAAAATATTTTTGATGCAGCAAACTTTGCAGTATTCTGTACTCTACTGTGATTTCTGAAGGAAGAGTCTAGCTACACTAGATGTATCGAGCTTAAAATCCAACTGCTGTATAGTCTGAAGAAACCAATTAGTCTAAGGATATTAAAGGCACAAAGATGCTTTGTGAACACACAGGAAGTTTTAAACATCGAGAAGGACAATATAGTTTAAAAAAAAAAAAAAAAAATCTTTCTTCTGTCATTAGTCCACAATTTACCAACTTGTCCTATATGTCCAATAACACTAAAAGGTTCAGATTGATTAAAAGACCAAACTCTCCCTGGAGCCAGTACTTCTGGCCTAGTATTTTGGACAACCACAGGAATTTGCCAGGACAGGATATTTCCGTGCTGGCTCTTCTCAAATTACACTGAGACTTTCTGATCATCTCACTACTGAAGTACCGTTTGTATGCATTCCAGCAAACTTTCAACACATAAACAGAGCAAAAGAGGGAGTTGCGTATCGCCACACTGATGAATATAGCCAGTGGGGTATTAGGTTATAATTTTTTTTCTGCTGTGGGAACTTTTAACTGGAATAAAGAACGTTGGCTATCACGCTGGGCTTTACTGGTACCTCATATGGCATCATCAGATTTCTTATTTCCTCTTTCCACTTAAAAAGTTTAATTCACATCTTGCAGACTCTGGGTTTTGATGCACATGGAAAGTGAGAAAATTGGGAAATAACATACTCCCCAAAACAGACACACAATCTTTGAGAAGCAACAGGGTGAACATTCTTCTGTAGATATATGCATAAGAAATAGCAAATGGTTTCCATTTCCCCTCCTTGAAATAATTTGGATGATGCTTAAGTTTTTCAAGCCATGCAGCAGCTGGCATTTGTATTTTCATAATAAAAAGTCCAAATTCCTTTTGAGTATACATACCACCCAAACCCACTAAAACACATGACTAGACATAAGCGTAAGGTTGGAGAAATAGTGCAAAGTTTGCCGCAGAACCCAGAAGATAAGCACAATTTGCCAGAGTCAGAGCTATTTTTGTTACACTAATACCATGTCCTTTTCATAGCGTTCTATTGCCTTCAGACATTCTTATGATGATATAGGAGGATCAATGCGGTGTCATTTTTTTTTTCCTTTAATGAGCTTAAGAAAATCCTTAATCTTTTTCGTAGAAAAACAACATCTGTTTTAGATTTATGGGCAATTGATTTTTATTTTTACAGCAAATAAGAAATGTCATCCTTCTTTGAAAGTTAAAACACGTATGCAAAGGGATTTTCTGCCTTCTATTTAACTTAAATTCATCCTGTGACACACTCCTATTGTGAGGCATATTAGCATTTATTATTTTTTACATATAGTGAAACTGAAACACAGAGAGGATATCCTCTGCTAGACGTTAGAATGATCTCTGCACAACAATTATTGCAGCAGGAATTTGAAGACGGGAGACAAGAAGAATCTGAACCTATTCACACTTTGAGTCATAAGCAGCATCTATGAATATTTCAGCTGAACATATTCACATGGAGACTATTGCCCTCACCCGTGATGATGCTTACCTACAGAAGTATTATACTCGGACAAGCAACTCCACCTCACAGTTATTCTATCTGTGGATGGGGAAGAATTCTTTTGTGAAGGAAAATGTCACCCTTCCATGTCTCCCCAACACACACATTCCTACTTGCTCAGCCCATCGTTTCAGATGAGATGAGTATTAAGCAGTTCCAAGATTCCTGCTCATTTGAAGGGAAAAAGAGTTCAACACCTTCTGAAAGGGAGAAAAAGGAGAAAAAAGTTCTGTCTGAGAGGATTTAACTTCAGTGTGTGCTTTATAAAAGATCATACTAATATGTAAGATATGTAAACATTATAGAGCAATCAGAAACAAATGAAATGATGAATTCAGTTTAACAATATTCAGCTGTGGTGCAACTGCCAGAAGGCACTTTTTGTTATGAATAGATCATTTGGATGAGTTACAGACCAGATTTCAACCCTGGCGTGTGCTAGGAAAATCAATGTCAAACTATCTAAGATCAGAAGGTATCAGCAGCACATCTGGCAGCCCACAGAAATGAAAAATGTCTTTAAAATATATAATGCTATATAGAACTAAGCTGAAGTATGAAAGGACCTGCTTAAATGGCACTAATATGAGCTCTGTAATGTATTTAATTTAGTTTAGCCCTTCCCACTTGCCTCTCCCTCTAAAACAAAAACAGGCAAAAAAATCCACCTCTGCTGTAGAAGGCTATGTGGAAAAAAGCACTACTGTCGCGAATGAGTGATGTAGAGGCCGCTTACAGAATCACCGTCAAAGAAATTAGCAGAAAGTTATTTTAATAGAGATAATAAAGGTGCGACCTAACAGAATTCGATGGCAAGGTTCGCTCCATTACTTATTACACAGATGAAAACATATAAAGGAAAATCATCTAAGGGTTTATATTTCAGGGACAGTCTAAGTTTCATTCACAATTTAGCAACACTTAATTATCAACTAATCATTAACAAACTTTAGTAACGCTTAATCATTAACGCAAAGTGAATTAGTAAGTCTACTACAATCACAACTTAATTACAGATTATGCTTACTATCAGTTCACACACACAGAGAAA